AATGGTGTCTTGTTTTCAGAGGACCAGGTCTGGCAAGGAAGGAGGACTCGCTGCCATGGGCACCTACGGGGTGAAATGCTGAACATTTCCTCCCAGTAGCAGCTGGGCCCCTTCTCTGCCCATCCTGCCTCTCTAGGGTACTTGAGACTTGCTCCTGCTTCTCCATCCCGTTATTCTCTTCAGTGTTCTTCAATGCAACCCTTTCTCCATTTGTCTCTTGGGCACACTGGACTGTTTGTAACCACTGAGATGGAACTACCTGCTCTTTGGTCCGTGGCAGAATCGATGTTCTGTCTCTGTTGGCTGAGCGGTGGGACACCTGGCATGTCGGTATGGGCAGCCTTGGATTCGTCTGGTGACAATACCACCATCTGGAAGTGATGGCCCCAAAGAAGGATCTCAGGGTCTGTAGAATCATGGGATATCTTCTCCATTGGTCACAGAGAAAGCGCCGTTGGAGAATTCCATGATTCGTCCCGTCTGTCCTGAGAGTCGCTCCTCTGCCAGCAATAGGGACAGCGGAGTACTGTCTGGTATCAAAGGGATAATGGCGGGAGTTCGGTGTGGCCTGCAGGTAGCTGGGCTCCCCTGGCGGGACCTCAGTCTCCGGTGCAGAGGGCTGAGGCCAGGGGACCAGCTTGCCCAGGTAACTACCCATCAGAGCAGTTGTGGGACTTTGGCCCTAGAGTCGGGCTAGATTTCACCGCAAGGATACGGATTTGGGGTTTGGGATTCTAGTCAAATGCTCAGCGACCGTTTCTATGTACCAACTCAGGCGAAGGCAGGGTACATACCCAAAGATGGGTCTGTTGCTAGGAAACACCTTTTGAACGGCCAGTGGATGAATGAGCGCGAGCTCAGAATGCTGGACTCCAGTACTGTTGAGGGATTTACGCATGCGCCAATTTCTCAATTGCACTACGGGGTTCACGCGGAACGTCAAGGAAATGTTGCTTGTGCAAAAGCTGCGGGTGGAAGAGCTGCAGGTGCAAAAGATCATTTCAGTACAGATGCGATGCAACATATGTGCTTGCCCCAAAGAACCTCTGGCGCAGGCTCAGAAGGTATTTCAGTATTGACAGCATAGCTTCCAGCATCATAGCAACACGTAACCCACCTGAGTAGTATAAAAGGATCTGATCCATTGTGGATTTTCCATATAGAAAACAAAATAAAACATATTTGTTAAAAGGAATTGTTTACTTAGGGACTTCGATGTTTATTTCTCCCATTTTATCTTTTATTTGTGCTCTTTGCACTGCCTCTGCCCTAACCTATGTTATGTCCCTACTATTTTGCATCAAGACATGGCTGTTCTATTAATATTGAATTCTGGGTGTGCATTGCCTGGCCATGAGTTTTCTGCAATGTGAAGGTCCTAGACTATAGAAAGCAAGATATCAAGACACATGGAGAGCTTCATGGCATTCTGGATCTACAGATCCTGAAAGGAGACAAGGGCCTTTCTCGAGAGCGATAAGTACATTGTTAGGATTCACACAATAGAAAGCCTTTGCATTGTCAGTAAAGCACAGGTAAACCCAAAGCTCCTTAACATCCATCCAACTGAAGATTCCCTTACCTACCAGCAGAGCTCTGTCAGATGCCAACTGAAGGGAAGTTAACTTTGACTATAGTATATTAACTGTATGCACACAAGGCAATATTAGCAGTGATGGTTGAAACACAGCCTCCCTTGAAGAGGACTGGGTAGGAGTGAGAGCTTGAACCAAACTTCAGGCCTGATAATCCATCTGTGGTGTTGGCAAATCTGCCAGTTTTATCAGGGCATACCCAAACAAAACTGATCAAATCAGATGCTCATTTTCTTCCATTTGGCCTAGATAGTAGAGTTGCTAGAAGATTCTAGAGACTCAGCATAATGAAAACCATTAGCTTCAAGAATACAACAAATGGCAGTTTATTGTGTAGTGAAGGAACTGAACATTCCTGAGGACATGTGGTGCGTTAAGATTTGTATTGGACCAGTAGCCTGAAGATCGCCAGTGCAAACATACCACATCCTGGAAATCCTAAAGAGGCTATGATTCACAACAGACCCAATGGAACATAACAACAACAACAGAGACTATTATAAATGACACACTCCCCATTGTCACTGATCATGGTTAACTTGAAGGCAAAGCAACATCTACTCTATCCCTGCAGCAAAAGTGACACACTTGTATAACAAGCCTGGTTTCATCCTAACAACCCAACAAACTTAACAAAACTCGAAATGCTCACCTTGGCATTCCTTCTGTTTGAAATTAAGCTAAAGTTACTGACACTTTCAACTAGAGGATCAGAGATAGCCTTGGAAAATGAACTATTAAATGCTTTCTTCTACAAGAGTCTTCATAAAGGCTGCATACAAATGTTCTGTGTATATTTGGATATCACTACATGTGCATATTAGCAAAGAGCAGAACAAAAATCTAACGTGTTCACTGAAACCATATAGACTTGTAAGTCTCTACCAATCCAGGATGTACAAGATAATGTGGGGAGCAGTATTACAAAAGTCACTTCATGGGAGAAGTGCATGTACTAAGAACACAGAAAGGATGCTCCCAATACAGGTGTGAAATGAATAGAAGCACATGTCCAAGAAACACCGAGGACTAGACAAACCCCTGTGACTATCGGTACTATTGTAACCAGGCTAAGTTGAAAGATTTTTGTCTCAGCAAAGTCAGATTCTTGACAGGGCCTCCTCTCCCCCTGACCATACTTGAACTCTCTACGACAAGACAAGCTGGGTTCCTGACTATGTAAAGGAGAAATTGCTGAATGCTATGTTAGAGGCTCTGTAGGCCCTGCACAGGGTGACACCTTTGGGATAAGCATCTATCTACCCCCTTGTCCTTTCCTAAATTGATATTTGAGGGGTATTTTCTAGGAACATAGAGGAGTTACCCATATCCAGCTGCCCTGAGGGCATATTGGACAAGAAGCTAGGGAAGACAGACCATCACCTATCTAAGTGATCTCACTCCTAGGCAATTGACCATGGAATGAATAATAGTTATGTTGACACAGAAGATGGAGGTCACCCAGCACCTTAGCAGAGAGCAGCGGTGGGTGGACAAGAACTCCAGGGCCCTGCCCTCTCCCAAGTCCCATTTCCATGTCTTCTGAGCTGACTGGACTTCC